CTGGGGAATTCTGGGAGTTGACGTCCACGCATCTCAAAGTTACCAAGTTTGAAAAACACTGAGCTAAAGCCTAAAAACTCAAAAGCTTTGATAAAGCAAAAACGCAATAAACAAAGAAAGGCTGAATTTCTTCCTCTTAAAGACAGTTTTACGCTGGTGCCTCGGAATTACTTCTATTTTATTTCTCGTGGTGGTTACGCTATCCCTTGTACAACTGGCAATCCTGCTGGGCTTCTACTCCCGCGTCAGGTTGGAAAATTGCCCAGTTCTCCAACTCCGTTCCCTGTGGGGTTTATGAGGCCAAGGCCGGACTCTTTATGACTCTATAAACAGCACTTACCCGTGTCCAGGATGTTGGTGTTTAACGGCTTGGTAGATTAAAAAGAAAATGTGGCACGCAGGATTGGCGGGTGGGGGTGGGAAACTGGGGCTTCAAGAAAGTCAAGGCATTTCTGCTTTAGGAAGTCCTATTTATCTTTATTTATTTACTTCTATTTCAAATTTGTCACTGCCCCTCTCACTGCAGAGCAACTCCGGGCAGTTTACAGTAAAAAAAAAAAGAATAAATATTAATTAAAATAGAATAAATATTAATTAAAATACATTACAAAAGGTTCCCCTATGAATCATAAATATCTTCCAAGAAGCGGATGTCAACTAGGAGTTATTAGACTCAGGGAGCATCTTCAAGGGGAGCGTCTTCAAGGCACCAGCCACCCCCAGGGTTGATGATATCCCGTCTCGCCCCATGCAAGTTGGCAGAGCCAAGTCTTCACCCCTTTCCGGAAGGCCAGGAGAGTGGGGGCCTGCCTCACCTTGGGGGAAAAATGTTCCACAGGGCAGGGGTGATGCCAGAGAAGTTAAGTAATGAGTGACTGCTCATTAAGAACTTGGAGCTGATATGTTTCTCCCGGTGGGTCTAAATTCCTAACTTGCAGGCTTCTAGTTCACACCAAGCTCTTCTTTAATGTTCTTCTCCCTTGAGACTGCAGGAAGAAGAAAAATGTAGGAACACCCACTGGGTAGTTAGCAAAAAGAGAATATCAGACCAGGATCGGTCCATTTGATTTAACGCTCATTTTGGAGAGCAGATTTCCGATGTGGCAAGTTTTTGATCTGATTGGTAATTAACATTTGCAGAAGAATGGCCAGATTGGGGAGGAAATCTTTGCTAGTCAGACCCTGGCCCTGCAGTAAGAGCAACTGGCTTTTGAAAAAGTTCCAGTAAAAAGGGAAAACTTTCAATTGCCATGTATGGTTTAGGAAATGTGCGAATGCCATCCATTTTGACTTTTTTTCTGCTCCATGGAAGACCAAATGCTGTCTTGATCAGTGTTTCTCAATCTTGGCAACTTTAAGATATGTGGACTTCAACTCCCAAAATTCCCCAGCCAATTTAAAGATACATGGACTTCAAATCCTGGAATTTTGGCTGGGGAATTCTGGGAGTTGAAGTCCACATATCTTAAAGTTGCTAAGGTTGAGGAACACTGATCTAGATGACTTCTAGTCCACATATCTTAAAGTTGCTAAGGTTGAGGAACACTGATCTAGATGACTTCTAGTCCACATATCTTAAAGTTGCTAAGGTTGAGGAACACTGATCTAGATGACTTCTAGTCCACATATCTTAAAGTTGCTAAGGTTGAGGAACACTGATCTAGATGACTTCTGACTAGAGTTTTTCTCAATATGATTCTTGATGGATGTGCTACAGAGAAATTCCTACATTTGCATACACCAGAATCCATGTTAGAATTCTTTTTAATCCCATTTTCTTTGCGCAAAGAAAGACACTCCTGTCATCATCAACTACATTTAGCATGGATCAATGGGTTAAAAAAAACCAAAACCTTGTCCTGCCCTTTTGCAGTTGTACAAATTGAAAGATGCAGGAGAAGTATTTGGCTTTCAGTGAACTTTTCCTAATAGACATCAGGGAGAAAAGATGTAACCTAAGATTATTTCTAACATGGTTGTTTCTTAGATGGAGAAGATTCAATCATTCCATCTCCTCCTTGTTTTTCAGAGGTGTCACAATCCTTTCAAGACCTATACTATATGATTTTTACCTGAACATAGGTTCCTTCTTTTGCTCAGAAGCAGGCATGCCAGGTTGTTATTTCAACCCTCTGGGCATCATTTCTATGCAGTATCTGTCTCAGCATTTGGAAAAAAAAAATATGTGGACAAAGTCACCTTATTTTTAATAATTTTCCAGCTGTCACGTGCTTTACATGGGCAATCTTTAATGATAAACCAGAAGTTTCCATTTAGGCAAAACGAGGCAACTAATCTGCTAATACTGTTGGCCAGTTGCTTTCATGGCACAATTTGAGGTGTGGGTTTTAGGTTTCAAGCTAAAATTGGTTAGAATCAGACTGTCAGAGGAAAAACTGTTCACAGTCTCCACTTGTCTGGGATCTGAGACCCACAGGAGTCTTCTTACGGATGCCCACTGCTTGGTCAGACAGGACTTCTGCCTTGTGTCATCCACAGGGTATGGTAACCCAAGTCAAGATGTTGGCTGCAGCAGTGGGATTGAAGCCCTGCCCCTTTTTATGTGCACCACACATGTGACACATGTAACAGGCAAAGCTTCCATCACACCCTCATGGCTGCCTCTTGGTGTTTTTGCCTACATTCTGCAGACACCCCTGTTCCAAGCTGCAGAATATGTTTCCCTGGAAAGTGGGTTTAACCATGATTTTTTGTATCTTCGGGAAAGGACCTTCCCCTTCATCCAGGACTTTTCATCTTGTTTAATACATGAAGTGTATTCATATTCTGTTTTGGCTTATTCCTCATTGTCATGAGTGCCTTATGGGTTGAGAAGTGAGGTAATTGAAATAATAAATCTGCATGTATTGTTAGAACTGGATGTGGAATGTCCTCTAGGAAAACCAACTCAGATTTACGTTTTTTAAGAAAGTCAGGAGGGAGGGAGGAGCAAGAGCGCCCCTGGAAAGGAAAGGCACTGTGGAGTCCAATGTTCCTCTCCATGTAAGAAGGTCAGGCTTTGCCTGAGGATCTCCAAGCAGCCTCTAGAGGTTAAGTGATCTGTCCTGCTACTGCTGTGGGATCCATTGGTCTATTCAGGAGATGTTCAATGAAGACAGAATATCTGAGCCTGTAGAATATGTATATTGCAGCAGTCAATCCCCTTCCCCACTTTACACAGAGGTGTCTTGAATTTGGAGGAAAATCTGGAGAGTCTGGAATGGTTTCAAGGAAGTGTTCCCCTTCTCCCTTCTCCCTTCTCCCTTCTCCCTTCTCCCTTCTCCCTTCTCCCTTCTCCCTTCTCCCTTCTCCCTTCTCCCTTCTCCCTTCCTTCCTGAATTAAAAATAGAGGTAGCATTCTGGATTTTTTATACGTATGTCTCAAAAAGCTGCAGATACCCCTGGCTCCCAGAGTGGTTCAGGCATCCAAATGCCGACAAGTCCTACCCTTACCCCTTGCAGGGCTGTGTTGCAGCAACGAACGTGGGTCCTGCTGAGGCTTCTCCCCCTCCTCTGGCATAACCGTTTTCTCTCTTTCTCTCCTGAAGGGCAAATGTCATAGGATGAACCCTGCTGGACCATTCTTACTGTCTGTAATATCGTGTCTGGTGTGGCTCTCCTGGGGCTTTGATCCGGCTCCAAGTGCTTGCTCCGCCTTGGCCTCTGGGGTCCTCTACGGATCCTTTTCTCTGAAGGACCTCTTCCCCACTGTCTCCACTGGCTGCTCATGGACCCTGGAGAACCCCGATCCAACCAAATACTCCCTGTATCTCAAGTTCAACCGGGAGGAGCAAGTCTGCACCCACTACTCTCCCATGGTGCTTCCGCTGGACCATTACCTCTCCAATGACACCTGCAACCAGCCCGGAGCGACTGCCCTGCCCCAGGAGGGGGGAGAAGAAGAGGAGGAGGAGGAAGAGGTGGGCTTGGAGCTTTGCCAAGGTGGGGGCCCCTTTGCCTTTTTTCATTTCGACAAGAACTTTGTGCAGCTCTGCCTGGCAGAGGAGCCCGAAGCAGCCAGCCGCTTGCTGCCCCCCGAAGCCGTGGAGTTCCGCTTTGTGGAGGTCCTCCTGATCAATAACAACAATTCCAGCCAGTTCACCTGCAGTGTCCTGTGCCGTTGGTTGGAGGACTGCCTTCGGCTGGGTTCCAGCCAACCCTGCGGTCTCTCACAAACGGGCTGCACCTGCCAGACACCCCGAACCTTGCCGGCTCCTCCAGAGGTCAACCAGACGCTCTCCAATGCCCTGACGCCCCCTGCTACCAGCAGCAGCAGAAGCAACTGCTGTGTGACCCAATTGCATTCTGGGAATGCGAATGATGTATATTCTCCAGAGATTAAGCACGGTAAGGGGAGGTGGAGGTGAGGTGGTTGGTTGACTGTCTGCAGTGGCCATTTGGCTGTTGTGATTATTCCTAGCAAACATTGCTTGCTAGATATTTGCATGCGGGGTTCTCCTTTGGATGAATGGCCCATTTCATTACTATGACTAATTTTGCATAGAGACAATGTGGGTTGGTGTCACCTTATACAAAAGAACTCATCCTTCCAATGTGTCCTCTCCTCTCTCTTTCCTTCTGGAGCCTTCTCTGCTTTCTGCTTCTCCTATCACTTGGTCTTGTCCTCAACCAGCTCTTTTGCGTCTTTCCTCTTCCTAGATCAGGTTTCACCAGTTTGGCATTCTCTAAAAATTACGGATTGGACTCTCTTTCTTGCATCCTCTTTTCTCTCTCCTTTCCTCTCCCTTCACCCTCCTGGCAGTAACATTTATTTTTCTAAAGCACTTGAACTTCATCTAGAATGCTCAAATGCCATGTTTTGTGTACGTGAAGGAAACCAGATGTAGCTTTTCAACTACAGCCCAAGACAAGACTAGAACTTACGATCTCTGGGTTTCTAGCTTGATGCCTTAATCACTACACTGAACTGGCTCTCATGTCTTTATATTAGCTGTCTGCAATTTGGGAAAAACTGGAGTTTTTCTTTCATATTGCATTACAGGGAGAAGGAGTCATCAGGTGCTATCTGTATGAAGTCAGGGTGGGGAGCAAGCTAATTAGCATGTTGTTGGGCACTTAACTCATGTCCATTTCACAAACTGCTATACAAATCAGAACAGGGCTATCCTGTGAGATGATGTTTTATGATTGGATTCTCCAAGATGAACAAAAGTGCATTCCTTAGGGGCCAGTGTACCCAAACATGTGCATATTTTTGAAAATAATGCAAAAAAGGCTTTCTAAATTACATCTATGAGCAATGCACCTGTATGATACATGCACAGATTTTCATATTTTTTTTAAAGCTGCCAATGTCTGTGGGATGTATTTGGAATCAACTATAGAGAACTGAGAAATACAGAAATAAAGAGACTGTGGTTTCCAGCTGTGGCTGCAAAGATATCCATCTTCCTTCACCCTACCTTGCCTTCTGGAGCCTCTCTGCTTTCTGCTTCTCTTGGTCACCTCAGCCAGCTCTTTTGCTGTTTTCCTCTCCTTAGATCAAGCTTCACCAGTTTGGCATTCCCTAGAAAGGTTGGATTGGACATTCCATCAAGTCTTGCATGGGAGGAGAGTCTGAGCTAGGGAAAGCTGCTGTGGGCATCCATGGAACAGAAGCAAGAGGAGCCCATGAAGAAACATGCATTACAATACAAACTCTACTCTTAATACTTGAGTGCAGCATTGTGACCCAAGTATGAAAGGGCGAAGCTTGTATTATGATGTCATTGTGGCTGTCTGTGGATGACTATGTAGGGCAGTGTTTCTCAACCTTGGCAGCTTGAAGATGTGTGGACTTCAACTCCCAGAATTCCCCAGCCAGCC